ATACAATGAAAATAAAACAATCCGCATCTTCCTGGACCTCAGTAACCAAGGACGCTATAGCTGCAAACACACAAACCTAACCAAAAATAGTATCCTTCTGCCGAAAAACATTCTTTCTTTTTGGGAGATATTGTATGTTAGCATGATACTGTATAGAATTAGAAGCACTGAAAAATGGATGCCCTTGCGGTGTACATCTCCTTGCTGGTTTACAATCAGTATACTGTGAAAAAAACATGTTCAGGGCTCTTTTGTCTGCTATGAGTGTTTTATTTCATACGAGGGTCACATAACAGTTTATTCGCCAAAATAATTATTTGTCGATAACAGAAATACTCAAGTACCCTGTAGCTGCATTTTCATGTTTTTTTTACCGTGATTGAAATTACAAATGTAGTAGTCATAGACTTAGACATAAACAAGCAATGGGTAGCTTGACACATTGTTTTTCTGACTTATAATGATTCCGTATGTTACAAGATTTTCTTTTTGAAACCCAAACATCAGTAATGATGACTCTAGCATGTGAGAAGTGTGCAAGACCAGATTCAAGACAAATTCAAAACTAGGATTTAAAGAAAAGAACAACTTTATTTGCAACAAACAAAACTGGCTTGAGTTTCAAGTATCAAATACACGGACATTAATATACTAGCAAAAATATACTGTAAATAATAACATACTAACCCAAGTTGAAAAAGTGGCTCATCTACACCGTATGTGTTCCTTCTATTCTTACAAAATGTATTGTTTTATTGAATACAATAGAACACCTATAACTACTCTTTGTACATGTATAACCATCTACAATTATGTGCATGCGAACTAATTCTATCAGTATCACCTATGGTAAACATTACTCCAAAACAAGAGGAAAAATAGTATGATAACAAATCCAAAGTAAATAAACATAAAATATGGATAGTAATCCCTCTAAAGAGAAACCAGGTTAGGTTCAACATGCAAACTTTGGTTAGTTAAGACTACTTTACATCCTCATTATTTTCTATATCAGTCAAATGTTACAATGTTACACTATGAAATGCTACAAGCAAGATAAAAACTGCATGCAGCCCAATGTTTTTGATGAATCAAAACATTCTGTGAAGGATGCTAAAGCAAACTTTTCACAATGTTTGTTGTACATTCTGAGTTAATTTTTTATTTTCCCTAGAACAGTTTGATTCCTCAATCCTCACTTTTCCAATAAAAAAAAACTTTCAGTGAGATTTTAAGTAAAACTCACTCTTAGTCATGACAGTAACTGAACTTGAATTTCCACATTTCCTCAACGCAAAATGTCCCAATTTTTTCCTGTAGGGTTTCGAATGTTCCATCTTCTTTAGGCCATTACTGCCTTAACCTGGTGTTTGAAAACCTTCCACTTGAGAGTTTGCGTGTGCCTTTTGCGATGACCCAGTTGTTTGAACAGTCTGATGCACACCTAAGTTTTTTTCCCTGTCTGACTTTTTCTGACAGGTTGGGCTTTACATGACTAAAAGTCAACAACTCATTCATCAAAACAGTGGTTTTGCACTCCTTTCACTTCTTGCGTTTCATAGAAGCGAGTCTGTAGGTGAGTCTTTAGATACCTCTAAGTCCAGCTATGTGAACATTCCAGTGAAATGTAAGATTCTACAAACAGGTTATAATATCACTGTTAACAGTTGGGTTCTAGTGATGTAACTGATGTAACCAATTGTTCATAATTCAGAGTGATGCAAGTAGTGTTGTCCCCTGTGCAGATGTTATGTTTGCAATTTCATCTAAAAAAAAATCATATCTATACCAGGAAACCTGACATATATAACAATATAACGTTATAATACATTTTGTAAATAAAAAGAACTAACAGTCTATCATATTTGTATCCACACTTGAACATATGTAACAATATACCTACAGTTCTATTCTAATGTTTTTTCTTAACTAAATGGATAAGTAAGAAAACATGCACATCAACAGAAACAAAGTTAAATATGAAACAAAAGCTGATAAGTAATGTATGTATTACTAATCTTAGTGAGAACCTGAAACCTGAATGTAGAAAATGCACTAGTACTAGCAAACTCACCAACTGGGACCTAAACTATACTAAACAATGTACTTCATACCTGCAAGTCAAATCCACCATAATCAACAGCTACATAATTGATATAAGAATACACATGTGAAGAGAATAGAAATAAGCAAGATGTTTTTCAAGATCTACAGATTTACTAAGTTTGTATGCAATACTTCACTACCACACCAGCATCTGTCCTGTAGTTCAACACATGGATACCTGTGCAATGTGCTTTCTAAATCTTAAGACTTCCATGTCATTCTCCATGCTAACAAGCAGACTGAGCTACAATCCTCAAACTTGCTTCTTGGGTTTCTTCCTTGTGTGAGTTTGCATGTGGGTCTTCAGGTTACCTAGAACACTGAACTGCCTGCTACACTCCTCACACCTGTAGGGTTTCTCCCCTGTGTGAGTCCGCATGTACATGTGGGTCTTCAGATGACCCAGCTCACTAAACTGCCTGCTACACTCCTCACACCTGTAGGGTTTCTCCCCAGTGTGAGTTCGCATGTGTCTTTTCAGATAACCCAGCTCACTAAACTGCCTGCTGCACTCCTCACACCTGTAGGGTTTCTCCCCTGTGTGAGTCCGTATGACTTCCTTCAGATGACTCAGCTGACTGAAGTGCCTACTGCACTCCTCACACCTGTAGGGTTTCTCCCCTGTGTGAGTCCGTATATGTTCCTTCAGATGACTCAGCCGACTGAAGTGCCTACTGCACTCCTCACACCTGTAGGGCTTCTCACCGGTATGAGTCCGCATGTGTCTCTTCAGATCACCCAGCTGACTAAACTGCCTGCTGCACTCCACACACCTGTAGGGTTTCTCCCCTGTGTGAGTTTGCATGTGTCTCTTTAGATGACCCAGCTCACTGAACTGCCTGCTGCACTCCTCACACTTGTAGGGCTTCTCACCGGTGTGAGTCCGTATGTGTCTCCTTAGATCACTTAGCTTACAGAACTGCCTGCTGCACTCCTCACACCTGTAGGGTTTCTCCCCAGTGTGAGTCCGTATGTGTTCCTTCAGATGACTCAGCTGACTGAACTGCCTGCTGCACTTCTCACATCTGTAGGGCTTCTCCCCTGTGTGAGTCCGCATGTGTTTCTTCAGATCACTCCGCTGTCTGAACTGCCGGCTGCACTCCTCACACCTGTAGGGTTTCTCCCCTGTGTGAGTCCGCATGTGTTTCTTCAGATTGCCCAGCTCACTAAACTGCCTGCTACACTCCTCACACGTGTAGGGTTTCTCCCCTGTGTGAGTCCGCATGTGAGACTTCAGATCACTCCGCTGTCTGAACTGCATGCTGCACTCCTCACACCTGTAGGGTTTCTCACCGGTGTGAGTCCGCATGTGAGACTTCAGATTACCCAGACGAGTGAACTGCATGCTGCACTCCTCACATCTGTAGGGTTTCTCTCCTGTGTGAGTCCGCATGTGAGACTTCAGATGACCCAGCTGACTAAACTGCCGACTACAGTCCTCACACCTGTAGGGCTTCTCCCCAGTGTGAGTTTGCACGTGTCTCTTCAGATTACCCAAATGACTAAACTGCCTGCTGCACTCCTCACACCTGTAGGATTTTGCACCAGCTACCCTGTTGGCACATCCCCTTTCTGATGCTCTGTTGATGTCATCAGAGCCACTGCTGTTTGTTGCCATGATAAAAGCTGAATTCACCGCCTCTGTGGTCATGGAAAATGAAGATGAATTAATCTTAACACAGTTACAGCAACCCATTTATCATAATCAGACATTGAAGATGAATATACAGTTGTATACTGTTCCAAATGTAACATTGTACATACAAAGTCTACTTTAAAAGTTGGTGCTCGCTGTAATTATTTCTATTTTTTTACACTCTACCAGTGCAGTTTGTATGAGCCTTTATTTATCCATGTACAATGTAAAGCTTAAAATAGCTGGCCTCGTTGATATCATGAGGGAAGAAGTATATACTTTTTAGTGTCAGACAGTATTGCTACAGTAACTTTTTCGTATGAGGTAGAATATGAAAATAAATTTGTGTAAGCACAGGTATTCAGTTTGTATAATAATATATCATCATAATGTATTGTATTACCTGCAAGATTATATTTCATACAAGGAAGTCTGAAACTGCTACAAAAGGGTTCTGATGTCTGATATAAAACAGGTGAAGCCTCACTGTTTTCTCCTTCAGTGGGGTAGGCAGTACTGATGGACTATGGAATTCCTGAGTACTGTGCAAAAGGAAAACAAAACATTAATGTTATAAAAATAAAGTGGTTAATTAGAAAGCCTGCATTTTGCCAAATTTTACATGGACTAAAATCAGGGACTAAAATCATATTTGATTTTGAGAAAAAAAGATGTGGTGGACCGGTGAGGTGAGGTGAGGTGAGGATCAGATTAGAAAGTCTGTGTAACCGAGGTGGACTAGCAAGAACACACACAGGACACAGTACACACGCACGGCAGTCGTGGGGCTGGACTGTCTTTCTCTGCGTCCTTCTCTTGTGCACTCTCCGTCTCAGACTGATCTCTCAAAACCCACAGAAGTGACAGAACACCCAGCTTTTATTCTCAAACCACAGACAAAGCCACAGATTGAAGACATTGAAAGTCAGACAATCGTCTGGCAAGGGGAACAGTACAAAATTTAGCACCTATATGACATGTCCTTGATGCACCAAGGGATCAAAGCATCGAATTAGCATGACCAGATTATCATACTGGCCACAAAAACTTCAATAGCTGATGGCCTCTTGCAATATACGTAAAAGTGTCCTTTTCATTGAAATGCATGTGTAAGGCCTGTGAAAGGCGTTGAAAATTTCATCCCCTTACACCTGCATTTACTCAATATCACAAAGTCATGGCTGTTTTATATACCATAGCACAGAAATAAAATTAAGAATAAATGACATAAAATCCCCCTCAGTACAAAAAAGCTTGACGTAAACTAGATAACGAATCACCCCTAACTCTAACTCATACGGTAACACTACATGTGCAACAGTTAATGAACCGCCCCTCGATATGTAATGGCAACCGGCAGCTGTTCGGGCGGGATGGCCATTTCTCGAGGCCCATGTAGGGGTTTACAGAATATTCTCAGAAATTCTGTATCTCCAAAATTAAAACTGAAATGCCCATTTCTCTGCACAAATAAACTAATGGTTCTATTTTTGAAAGGCGATCTTATTTCCTGTAGGACATGTAAGTATTTTTGTAGTGAGTTGTTTGAAAATTTAATGAGATACCGCAAGTCCGTAACCCCTTATAGTTATACACCTTTCCTTCTATGCTATGCTAACAACAACAAAGCTAAAATTCCGCTTGCGTTCTTGGTACGCGTGTCGTTCTATACTGCTGACAGAACATCGTTTGTAAACACGAACTCGTTGCTTTTCAAACCATATATAACATGTTACGTGTACGTGTAGAACTTGTCACCTCGACGGTGGCACAGGCACTCAATTTTTCAGACCGGGCTAAACAAAGTTGTAGGTGTCATTCTCTTGTCACAGCAATAACAGTGGAGTAGACAAGCTGTTCGTACGTACCTGAGTAGTCAAGAGGATAGAACCCCGACAAATTTACCCTGAAATAGGACGAAAGATGACGAGAAACGCTCGATATTCTCTTTCCCACCAGGACACGTCTTGTGAGTGGACGGAGTGTGGCAGGACCTGGAGCGTGGTAGAGGCTACACGAGGCACAGGGGGTGTCAGAATGAGCTCCGCGGAGCTTGAATACATAATGAGGCAAAGCAGAGGCAGTCACTTGTTTCTCGTCACCCCGCCACCATTTAGTCGCCTGGCATTCTGAGGATAGCTCAGAAGCGCAAACCATTCACTCTATTTCCCATTATAAAATTAATCTACTTTTCTATTGAACACTAAAAAGTCCTTAAGCTTTTAAAGAGTTACAGTGGGATGAATCATCAAATATTTCCTGGAAATACATATACAATGAAAATAAAACAATCCGCATCTTCCTGGACCTCAGTAACCAAGGAGGCTATAGCTGCAAACACACAAACCTAACCAAAAATAGTATCCTTCTGCCGAAAAATATTCTTTCTTTTTGGTTGATATTGTATGTTAGCATGATACTGTATAGAATTAGAAGCACTGAAAAATGGCTGCCCTTGTGGTCTACATCTCCTTGCTGGTTACAATCAGTATACTGTGAAAAAAACATGTTCAGGGCTCTTTTGTCTCCTATTCAGTGTTTTATTTCATACTATATGGTCACATAACAGCTTATTCGCCAAAATGATTATTTGTCAATAACAGAAATACTCAAGTACCCTGTAGCTGCATTTTCATGTTTTTTTTTACCGTGATTGAAATTACAAATGTAGTAGTCTTAGACTTAGACATAAACAAGCAATGGGTAGCTTGACACATTGTTTTTCTGACTTATAATGATTCCCTATGTTACAAGATTTTCTTTTTGAAACCCAACATCAGTAATGATGACTCTAGCATGTGAGAAGTGTGCAAGTCCAGATTCAAGACAAATTCAAAACTAGGATTTAAAGAAAAGAACAACTTTATTTGCAACAAACAAAACTGGCTTGAGTTTCAAGTATCAAATAAACGGACATTAATATACTAGCATACTGTAAATAATAACATACTAACCCAAGTTGAAAAAGTGGCTCATCTACATCGTATTTGTTCCTTCTATTCTTACAAAATGTATAGTTTTATTGAATACAGTAGAACACCTATAACTACTCTTTGTACACGTATAACCATCGATCTACAATTATGTACATGCGGACTAATTCTATCAGTATCACCTATGGTAAACATTACTCCAAAACAAGAGGAAAAATAGTATGATAACAAATCTAAAGTAAATAAACATAAAATATGGATAGTAATCCCTCTAAAAAGAAACCAGGTTAGATTCAACATGCAAACTTTGGTTAGTTAAGACTACATTACAACCTCATTATTTTCTATATCAGTTAAATTGCTTATGTTACACTATGAAATGATACAAGCAAGATAAAACTGCATGCAGCCCAATGTTTTTGATGAATCAAAACATTCTGTGAAGGATGCTAAAGCAAACTTTTCACAATGTTTGTTGTGCATTCTGAGTTAATTTACTATTTTCCCTAGAACGGTTTGATTCCTCACTTTTCCAATAAAAAAAAAACTTTCAGTGAGATTTTAAGTAAAACTCACTCTTAGTCACGACAGTACCTGAACTTGAATTTCCACATTTCCTGAACGCAAAATGTCCCAATTTTTTTTCCTGTAGGGTTTCGAATGTTCCATCTTCTTTAGGCCATTACTGCCTTAACCTGGTGTTCGAAAACCTTCCACTTGAGAGTTTGCATGTGCCTTTTGCGATGACCCAGTTGTTTGAACAGTCTGATGCACACCTAAGTTTTTTTCCCTGTCTGACTTTGCAGGTTGGGCTTTACATGACTAAACGTCAACAACTCATTCATCAAAACTGTGGTTTTGCACTTCTTATACTTCTTGGGTTTCATAGAAGTGAGTCTGTGGGTGATTCTTTAAATGAACCAGGCTACTATGCATTCAATACACCTGCAGCCTTGGATTTCTCTCCTCTGTGAATTAGCATGTGTTTCTTCAGACTACCTAGCCTACTGAACTGCCTGCTGCACTCCTCACACCTGTAGGGTTTCTCCCCTGTGTGAATGCGCATGTGATTCTTCAGATGATACCGCTTACTAAACTGCCTGCTGCACTCCTCACACCTGTAGGGTTTCTCCCCTGTGTGAGTCCGCATGTGTCTCTTCAGATAACCCAGCTCACTAAACTGCCTGCTGCACTCCTCACACCTGTAGGGTTTCTCCCCCGTGAGTCCGCTTGTGGGTCTTCAGATTACTCTGCACACTAAACCGCCTGCTGCATTCCTCACACCTGTAAGGTTTCTCCCCTGTGTGAATCCGCATGTGTTTCTTCAGATCACCCAGCTGACTAAACTGCCTGCTGCACTCCTCACACCTGTAAGGTTTCTCCCCTGAGTGAATGCGCATGTGTCTCTTCAGATGATCCTGCTTACTAAACTGCCTGCTGCACTCCTCACACCTGTAGGGTTTCTCCCCTGTGTGAATGCGCATGTGATTCTTAAGATGATCCCGCTTACTAAACTGCCTGCTGCACTCCTCACACCTGTAGGGTTTCTCTCCTGTGTGAGTCCGCATGTGGGTCTTCAGATGACCCAGCTCACTAAACTGCCTGCTACACTCCTCACACCTGTAGGGTTTCTCCCCAGTGTGAGTTCTCATGTGTCTCTTCAGATAACCCAGCTCACTAAACTGCCTGCTGCACTCCTCACACCTGTAGGGTTTCTCCCCTGTGTGAGTCCGTATGTGTTCCTTCAGATGACTCAGCTGACTGAAGTGCCTACTGCACTCCTCACACCTGTAGGGTTTCTCCCCTGTGTGAGTCCGTATATGTTCCTTCAGATGACTCAGCTGACTGAAGTGCCTGCTGCACTCCTCACACCTGTAGGGCTTCTCACCGGTATGAGTCCGCATGTGTCTCTTCAGATCACCCAGCTGACTAAACTGCCTGCTGCACTCTTCACACTTGTAGGGCTTCTCACCAGTGTGAGTCCGTATGTGTCTCCTTAGATCACTAAGCTGACAGAACTGCCTGCTGCACTCCTCACACCTGTAGGGTTTCTCCCTTGCGTGAGTTCGCATGTGACTCTTCAGATGACCCAGCTCACTAAACTGCCTGCTGCACTCGTCACACTTGTAGGGCTTCTCACCAGTGTGAGTCCGTATGTGTCTCCTTAGATCACTAAGCTGACAGAACTGCCTGCTGCACTCCTCACACCTGTAGGGTTTCTCCCCTGTGTGAGTCCGCATGTGAGACTTCAAATGACTTGGATCACTAAACTGCCTGCTACACTTCTCGCACCTGTAGGGCTTCTCACTGGCGTGAGTCCGCATGTGTCTCTTTAGCTCACTCAGTAGACAGAACTGCCTGCTGCACTCCTCACACCTGTAGAATTTTGTGCCAGCTATCCTGTTCGCAGATGTCCTTTCTGATGCTCTGTTGATGTCAGCAGAGCCACTGCTGTTTGTTGCCATGATAAAAGCTGTATTCACCTCTGCGGTCATGGAAAATGAAGATGAATTAATCTTAACACAGTTACAGCAACCCATTTATCATAATCAGACATTGAAGATGAATATACAGTTGTACACTGTTCCAAATGTAACATTGTACATACAAAGTCTACTTTAAAAGTTGGTGCTCGCTGTAATTATTTCTATTTTTTTACACTCTACCAGTGCAGTTTGTATGAGCCTTTATTTATCCATGTACAATGTAAAGCTTAAAATAGCTGGCCTCGTTGATATCATGAGGGAAGAAGTATTTACTTTTTAGTGTCAGACAGTATTGCTACAGTAACTTTTTCGTATGAGGTAGAATATGAAAATAAATTTGTGTAAGCACAGGTATTCAGCTTGTAAAATAATATATCATCATAATGTATTGTATTACCTGCAAGATTATATTTCATACACTGAAGTCTGAAACTGCTACAAAAGGGTTCTGATGTCTGATATAACACAGGTGAAGCCCCACTGTTTTCCCCTTCAGTTGGGGTAGGCAGTACTGCTGGACTATGGAATTCCTGAGTACTGTGGAAAAAGGAAAACAAAAGATATGGTTTATTAGAGAGCCTGCATTTTGCCAAATTTTATATGGAATCTTGAGATTCCATATAAAAAGAGATAAAATTATATTGGAATATTGAGAAAAAAAGATGTGATAAATCAGATTAGAAAGCCTGTGT